TCCTATTCCATAAGCACTCAATAACCCTTGAAAAAAATGGCCGGGCGCGGTGGCTCAAGCCTGTAATCCCAGCACTTTGGGAGGCCGAGACGGGCGGATCACGAGGTCAGGAGATCGAGACCATCCTGGCTAACACGGTGAAACCCCGTCTCTACTAAAAATACAAAAAACTAGCCGGGCGAGGTGGCGGGCGCCTGTGGTCCCAGCTACTCGGGAGGCTGAGGCAGGAGAATGGCGTAAACCCCGGAGGCGGAGCTTGCAGTGAGCTGAGATCCGGCCACTGCACTCCAGCCCTGGCTACAGAGCAAGACTCTGTCTCAAAAAAAAAAAAAAAGAAAGAAAAATGACTGGAATCCCGGAGATGGCCAAGGCAGCAACTGTGATGGGAGAGTGATCTGCTGCCCTCTCCTGGCAATGTGAGGAATTGTCCTAAGCACAGACAACTGCCCCCTGCCTTGCAAAAACAAGTGCAGGTTGGGGGAAACTGGAAAAGGAGCTGATGGAGGACTAGGGAGATGGATGCTGTCTAAGGAGACAAACTGAATTAAGGGGTTGCTGAGACTCTGCCGGCTCACGCACTATTCCCATGTCTATGGGCCCATGGGCCAGGTCAGTGCTTCCAAAGGATGAGGGTGCATCCTCAGAGAGGCTCTGGCTCCCCCCACCAAACCATAAACTCTTGAAGGACATCTTCCTTCTCAATATACCCTATTGCCATGTTGTTGTAACTTTTATTCACTTAAGTGGGTGATCACTGAGTTTTTCCTCCATTGTTATAAAACATGTGTTTTGCTCTTTTGTGTAAAATGACTCTGAATTTAGCCACTGGCTTCTCCTGATTTTAACTCGGCTTCCTACTGCTAGGAGGTTATCTCTGATGTTCTGGGTTTCTCAGCTTTCTATCAAAACCCAAATACCGTCATTCCTCGGTATCCATAGGGGATTGGTTCCAGGACCTTCTCTTGAAGATACCAACATTGCAGGTGCTCTAGCTCCTGATAGAGAACAGCGCGGCATTTGCAGACAACCTATGCACACCCTGCATCCACTTTCAATCAGCTCTAGATTACTTCTGATACCTAATTCAATGTAAATGCTATGTCAATAGTTGTTTACAGAATAATGACAAGAAGAAAATTTTGTACATGTTCAGTAAAGCCACATATTTTTCAAATATTTGTACCCCAGGTGGTTGAATCCCCAGTTGAATCCAGAACCCACTGATACAGAACCCACAGGTGAGGAGGGCCAGCTGTGGCTGTTAGCATCCCCTGACCACCACCCCCAATGGTGCCCACTGCTTCAACGGGTCAGACAATATCATGCACCCCTCCTGGCAAAGAGAAGCATTACCTCAGCTTCTCTTGGGGTTGCAGGTCTAACCATCTGCATCTTAACATTTGCAAAGGTTGCCTAACCTCTAAAATAGGAAATGGATTTGGGGAAGGAGCTTGAGACTGTGGCTGGAGAATTGTGACTGATGTTCACAAAGATAGTTAAAGCCTTGGAGTGGCTAAGATAGCCACCTGCAAAGAAAAATCACCTGTCGTTCACCATTGAATCATCCATCTCTCTTGCACAGGGCATTCTATAAACATCAGGTGTCTGTGGAACAAATGCAAAGAGCGTACACAAAAGAAGCAAAAGGGACTGTTTGCACGATGCAGAAAATTAGACCTGCATGACATGTTTAGCCCTAAATTTGGGAATCTACCCCACTAGACAGGAAATGCCTTTTCAATTAACAAATGGCCTCTCCACTCCTTATTTCCCTGGCAAGTTTACTGAACAATGATTGGCACCGTAAACTTTGTTTTCATGTCAAACAGTACCTATCCTCTAGTGGTTTATCGTCTATTTGGTGGGACATGGCACAAAGGAAGAAAAACTGTTCAGTCCTCAGGAAGTCTGTAACCTCACCAGACGAGGCATCCATCTCACACTTGCTTCTCCAGGACCACTAGAGAGTCACATGAGACCATGTGCAATGAAAAGCTGAATTCACAAACACTTACCACTGAAAATGAGCAGCACAGAAAATCAGTGTTTTTAGTTAGGTGGTGCTATCAGGGCAGGCTTCCTGAAAGAAGTTGGCTTTGAACTGCCCTAGGCTGGGAAGAAGTAGAAAACAAAATGGAAAATTCATTGTCCCATAGTCTGGAGGCAACCTGAATCCTAGGACCAGCATCAGTCGGAGATCCCAGTGGCAAGACAGGGGAATGACGCCATTGACAATCCTGCCCATGTTCTCACTCTTGAGAGTGTGACACTGGGGCAGAAGCAGCAAAGATGACCACTGCATACCTTGCAGCTTCCAGACAGAGGTGTATTTGGCTTCCAATGCACAAGGCCCCCTTCAGCAATGCCTTTTCAGGGTGCGGGATAATAAAGTAAGGTGAAGGTGGACTGGAGTGAAGTGCAGCCCAGGATGATAGCACCAGCTCAGAATGTCCTCAGCGAGGCCAGCAACAGTTTGGAGAATATTGAGAGATGGAGCTGTCCAATCAGCCAGAGGGTCCCTGAGAGATGAGATGGTCTTGGCCTGGATTCCCCACCCCTCGCTCACAAAAGCAGCTTGGTCCATGGAGCTGGGCAGCGCTGTTCAATAATAATGAACAGCCCACACGGCATGCATCCCATCAGAGCCCAGTGAGGGGGCAGGCGAGCGCTGTCTCCCCAGCACCTGCTCCTGCCTGGGCCAGCGGCCCTGACCCTTCTGACAAACCTCTAAGTGCTCCAACTGCTACATGGTTTCTCACCATCTCCAGCCCAAACTCTGCCTCCAAAGCCTAATGGATCCACCCAGTGGGCCTTACCTCCCGCTCTCCCAGCACGTTCTGCTGTAACTGAGACTCGCCTGCTCCCTGGGCCGCAGCGCTCATGTTTACCTGCGGACTTCCTCACACTGTCCCCACCACCTGAATGACCCTGCTCCTTTCCACCCCGAACAATGGTAGGAACAGAAGCAGCACAGACTTAGAGTCAGAAGAGACAGCTTCAAGTCCTCCACTGAACAAAGAGTGCCTGCATATTCCCACAAACGAACATAAAGTTAACCAACTTACAGTTACAGAGGCCCAGCGTCCACAGTCAGCCTCAGCCTGGCTGAAGTCACAGTGTCAGCAAGGCTAGCTCATCCTGGTGCTCCTGGGAGACGTTGCTCCCTTGCCTTTCCCAGCTCCTAGAGGCAGCATGGGTTCCTTGGCTTATGGTCCCAAGGCACATGGACTTCTGCTTCTGTGGCCACATCTCTATCTTTGACTCTGGCCCTCCAGGTTCCCTCTTTTGAGGACTCCTGTGATTACATTACCAGAGCCACAAGGTAATGCAGGATAATCTCCCCCTCTCAAGATCCTTAGTTGAATCACATTTGCAAAGTCCCTTTTGCCAGGTAAGGTCAGAAATTCACAGGTTCTGGAGATTAGGATGTGAACATCTCTGGGGGAGCATCATTCAGCCTGGCACAGTGAGATATGCATGCATTTTTAATTTTTTTGTTTATCATTTATACAAAGGGTCTCACTATGTTGCCCAGGATGACCTTACACTCCTGAGCTCAAGTTTCAAGCAATCCTCCTGCCTTGGTCTCCCAAGTAGCTGGGACAACAGGCACACACAACCACAGCTGCCTTATATCTTATAAATCAACAAGAAAACAATTTAACTTTTTTTTTAAGATTCAGTTTTGCTCTGTCGCCCAGGCTTAAGTAGAGTGGTGCGATCTTGGCTCACTGCAGCTTTCACCTCTTGGGTTCAAGTGATTCTCCTACCTCAGCCTCCCAAGTAGCTGTGACTACAAGCACGTGCCACCACGACTGGCTAATTTTTGTATTTTTAGTGGAGACAGGGTTTCGCTATGTTGGCCAGGCTGGTCTTGATCTCCTGACCTAAAGTGATCCACCTGTCTAGGCCTCCCAAAGTGTTCAGATTACAGCTGTGAGCCACCGGCATCACGCCCAATTAAACTTTTTTCTTTCTTTTTCTTTTTTTTACTTTTTTTTTTTTTGACGATGGGAGTTTTGCGTGCGGATTGTTGCCCAGCGTGGAGTGCCGATGGTGAGCCTTTGCTCATGCACACCTCGCCCCGGTCTCGTGCTTCTGCCTCCTCCAGAGTAGCTGGATTCAACAGGCCAATCCGGCACAGTACCCACCCTGCGCCCACCACCGGCCCGGCTACAATTTTGTATTTTTAGTAAAGCCACGGGCGCTTCCTCCTCCATGCTTGCGTCGCTCGTCTCCGAACTCCGACAAGCCCGCTCCAGGTGATCCGCCCGCCTCATCCTCCCAAAATGCTGGGATTACAGGCGTGAGCCACTGCGCCTGGCCTCAGTTAAACTTTTTTAACGGTAAAATGTTTGACCAGACACTTGACCAGAGAAGATAGACAAACTGGCAAAAAAAAGTTCATGAAAAGATGTAGAACATCATTCTTCATTAGGGAAATGCAAATTGAAACCACGATGATATAAGAACTGCATCACCACTAGAAGACATGAAATCAAAAGATTTCTGGCAAAGCTGCCGAGCAGGCAGAACTGTCACATGCTGCTGGCAGAAACACAAAATGGCACAGCTACTGTGGAAAGCACTTTAACAGTTGCTTATAAAGTCAAACATAGGACCTAGCGATCCTTCCCCTAGGTGTTTATCTGAGACAAATGAAAGCAGATTTCTACAAAACAATGTGTACAAGAATGTTCTAGCAGCTTCCTGTTGGGAGAAAACCTGAGTGTTGGGAGAGAAGCTGAGGCAGGGCTTGCATGTCTGCTAGACTTGCTGGCTCCTTGCTTCTAGCACTCCCATTATCTCAAGCAGCCATATGTTTATCATTCACTTGATACAGTTTCCTTTCTACCTCCACATTCTCACCACCTGTTTCTTTGTTTCAGCACCAATAAATAGCATGGGCTCCCAGAGCTCCGGGCCTTTGCAGCCTCCACACTGGTGATGGTCCCACTCTCTCTTTCAAACTGTCTTTTTCTCATTCCTTTGTCTGCCAGACTTCATCGCCCCCAAGACCTGGTGTTGGGTCTTATTGCCCCAACATTCCTGGCTGCCCAACGTGGGGCAACAAAGACCCTGGTAAAGGAACACTAGAGCGTGTGAAAGCAGAGGAAGCATTGTCAAAGGACACCCAAGGACGTCTAAAAGAAGCTCAGCAGGAAAGCTAAGTGCTCAGAAGAACGAGGGTAACAATGGGACAAAGTGAAAGCAGACATTCTGCTTATTTCAATTTCTTAAGGCATTTATTACGAAGAGGGAGAATGAAAGTTAGTACTCAGAATTTGTTATCACTCTTTAGTACAGTAAAGAAGTTTTGCCCATGGTTTCTAGAACAAGGGACTATGGAGTTGGATGAATGGGAGAGAATTGGTTTGATGCGGCAGATTCAGACGAGGAAGAGGACGAGTGTTAAAAACTAACTTCAGATTCTGAGTGTGAGGAAGAGCTACTGGAGGAGATTAATGAAAAGAAGGGAAAACTAAAAAAGGTATGTTTTACTGGCCTGTCGGCTCCAGCTCCTGAATTAAGTGAATGGCCACCTCCTCTCTCTCCTCTTAATGGGTGAGAAAATAAATTAGCTGAAAAACTTACTGCTCCTGTAGTTGCAACATTAAAACCTGGAGCAATTGATGGTGCTATACAAAATTCAATTTAAAAAGCTAGAGCTGAGGGAGACCTTGAAGCATGGCAATTTCCCGTTACTATAATCAGCAGGGAGGACAGACTATAGCTAATTGGGCCACTTTTCCTTTTAAGTTACTAAAGGAATTTAAGCAAGCCATTAGTCAATATGGACCAAACTCTCCTTTTGTGTAAACTTTATTTTAAAATATGGCTCTTGATAATAGATTAATACCATATGATTAGGATATTTTGATAAAAATCTGTTCTCACTCCATCTCAGTACCTGCAGTTAAAAACCTGGTGGGCTGATGAAGCTCAAATGCAGGCAAGGGAAAACACACAAGTGCAGCCACCTGTGCCTGTTTCCTTTGACCAGCTAATGGGAATCAGCCCTAATTGGGGTCAGTTAGAAAATCAAGCAGTAATGGAGGATGTTGCCATTGTTCAGCTGTGCCGTGTGCTTACAGGCATGAGAAAGGATAAATGTTACAGGGGAAAAATATGCTTCTTTCAGTTCTGTCCAACAAGGACCTAAAGAACCATATATTGATTTTATTGCTCAGCTCCAAGAGGCTGTGTATAAAGCCTTAACTGATAAAACAGCTCATGATGTTGTAATACAGCTTCTTGCATAAGATAATGCTAATGCAGAGTGTCAAACTGCTATTAGACCCCTGAGAGAGAAGGCTCATTGAGCTGAATATATTAAGGCTTGCAGTGGCATTGGAGGTAACTTACATAAGGCTACTGTTTTATCTCAGGCTATGGTTGGATTAAGAGTAGGAAAGAATATGCCCCATTTCTCAGGCTCTTGCTTTAATTGTGGGAAATTTGGACACACAAGAAAGGAATGTAAAAAAGGAAATCAAAAGGCAAAAACTACCATCAATCAACAGAAAAGTCCCAGTTTATGTCCCCAGTGTAAGAAAGGCAATCACTGGGCAAGTCAGTGTCATTCTAAATTTAGTAAAGATGGACAACCTCTTTCAGGAAATGGGAAGAGGGGTTCAAGACCGAGGCATACCTGGCACAGCCAGTGCCCTTACGAATGTACAATTGTCCCCCACCTCAGCAGGCAGTGCTTCCATAGACCTCTACAGCACAATTCCTGTGTCCTTACTTCCTGGGGAGCCACCAAAGAACGTCCTCATGGGAGTTAGGGGAACTTACCCTCAGGAACAGTCAGTCTATTACTTGGAAGGTCTATCCTAAATTTAAAAGGTGTACATACAGGAATAATTGACTCTGATTATACCACAGAAATTCAATTAGCTATTCATTCCTCAACTCCATGGTCTGCCTTCCCAGGAGAAAGAATTGCTCAGTTGTTGCTGTTACCTTACATAAAACTACGAAGCAGCACAGTGAAAAGAACAGGAGGCTTTGGTAATACTAATCCAGCAGGAAAGGCTGTGTATTGGGTTAATCAAGTGTCTGACAAAAGATCTATTTGCACAGTAACTATTCAGGGAAAAGATTTTGAAGGACTAGTAGATACTGGAGCTGATGTCTCTATTATTGCTATAAATCAATGGCTCTGGCACTGCCCTAAGCAAAAGGCATCCATTGGTGGTGTTGGAGTAGGAGCTGCCTCGGAAGTTTTTCAAAGTTCTTTGATTTTACCATGTCAAGGGCTGGATGGTCAGGAAGGGACAATCCAACCTATCATTACACCTATTCCTGTCAATTTATGGGGTAGAGACTTATTGCAACAATGGGATACTGAAATATCTATTCCTACAGATCAATATAGTAATAATAGTAGAAAAATGATGAGAAATATGGGATATCACCCAGGAAAAGGATTAGGAAAAGATAAAATGGCCAATCAGAACCTTTAGAATTAAAAGGGCAAACAGATCGGACTAGATTGGGGTATCATTTTTAGCAGCGGCCATTGTTGAGCCTCTGGCTCCCATTCCTCTTGTTAGGCTAACTGACAAACTGGTTTGGGTGGAGCAATGGCCACTGAAACAGGAAAAACTGGAGGCTTTAAAAGAACTGGTGCAGGAACAATTGCAAAAGGGACATATAGAGCCTACTTTCTCCCCTTGGAATTCTCCTGTATTTGTCATTAAGAAAAAATCAGGGAAATTGATAATGTTAACAGATTTAAGGGTTGTTAATGCTGTGATTCAACCCATGGGCATAGTATAACCAGGGCTGCCCTCCCCAACAATGATTCCAAAATACTGTCCTCTCATAGTGATAGATCTAAAGGATTACTTTTTTACCATTCCTTTAGCTGCCCAATATTATGAAAAATTTGCTTTTACTGTTCCCACCGTAAATAATAAAGAACCAGTGACACGGTGAAACCCCATCTCTACTAAAAAATACAAAAAACTAGCCTGGCGAGGTGGCAGGCACCTGTAGTCCCAGCTACTCAGGAGGCTGAGGCAGGAGAATGGTGTAAACCCAGGAGGTGGAGCTTGTAGTGAGCCGAGATCCAGTCACTGCATTCTAGCCTGGGTGACAGAGCGAGACTCCGTCTCAAAAAAAAAAAGAACCAGTGGACAGATACTATTGGAAAGTACTACCACAAGGCATGCTAAATAGCCTGACTATTTGTCAAACTTATGTCAGGAAAGCTGTTAAGCCAGTTAGAGAACAGTTCAAAAAATGTTATGTTATCCATTACATGGATGTTACTCTGTGTACAGCTGAAAGTAGGAAGAATTGATGTTGTGCTACAAACAGTTAGAAAAGGCTATAAATGCAGCAGGGTTAATTATAGCCCCTGATAAAATCCAAACTTCTATTCCCTTTCAATATCTAGGAATGAAGGTAGAGCAAAGTGCTATTAAGCCTCCTCAAAAGGTTCAAATCCAAAGAGATAATTTAGAAACCCTAAATGGTTTCCAAAAATGATTAGGAGACATTAATTGGATTCTTCCAACTTTAGGCACCTACCTATGCTATGTCTCACCTCTCTTCTACTTTACAAGGTGATTCTGACCTTAACAGTAAACACTCCCTGTCCAAAGAAGCATTGGAGGAACTTCAATTAATTGAGGAAAAAATTCAGCAAGCACAAGTAGAATGGATTAGTCTGATACAACCATTATAGTTTTTAGTTTTTCCTACTAAGCATTCACCTACAAGAGTTATAGTTCAACAGGATGATCTGGTTGAGTAGCTTTTTCTACCTCACAATACAACCAAAACGCTCACTCTGTACTTAGATCAAATTGCCGTGCTAGTAGGACGAGTGAGGCTGCACACAACAAAGCTAATGGGATATGATCCAAATCAGATTATAGTTCCATTAACTAAACAACAAATTCAACAAGCCTATATTAATTCCCAAGAATGGCAGGTTAATTTGGCCGGTTTTGTTGGCATTCTTGATAATCATTATCCTAAGTCTAAAATCTTCCTGTTTCTAAAATTAACATCCTGGATATTGCCTTCTATTACTAAAAAAGCCCCTATTGAAGGGGCCATTACTGTTTCTACTGATGGATCTAGTAATGGAAAAGCCTCCTTTGCAGGACCTCAACAGCAAGTTTTTCAAACTGACTTTGCTTCTGCTCAAAGGACTGAACTTATGGTTATGATAACAGTGTTAAAAACTTTTAAACAGCCAGTAAACATTGTTTCTGATTCAGCCTATGTAGTGCAAGGCTCGCAAAATATTGAATGTGCCTTAGTTCGAAATGTGACTAATGAACAACTTAATCTTTTATTTTATTCTTTACAGCAAGCAGTATAACAAAGGCATTCCCCTTTCTATATCACTCATATGAGAGCACATACTGACTTCCCTGGTCCTTTAACTAAACTTAATCAAAGGGCAGATGCATTGGTATCTGCAGCCTTTGCTGATGCACAAACATTTCATTCTTTAACCCATCTTAATGCTGCAAGCCTTAGAAAAAGATATGGTCCATCATGGAAACAAGCTAAAGAAATTGCACAACACTGTTCTGCCTGCCAAGTCCTGCATCTGCCACTTCAAGGAACAGGCGTTAACCCTACAGGTTTATCTCCAAATTCCATCTGGCAGATGGATGTAACACATATTCCTTCTTTTGGAAAATTGCCATTTGTTCATGTTTCAGTAGATACCTATTCACCTTTTATTGGGCCACATGTCAAACACAGTTATGGGAATCTCAGAAAAAATCAAAACTGATAACGGACCAGGATATTGTAGTAAAGCCATGGCTACATTTTTTCAACAATGGAATATTACCCATACTACGGGTATTCTATATAACTCACAAGGACAAGCAATACTGGAAAGAGCTAATTGTACTTCAAAAACTCAAATATAGCCGGGTGCGGTGGCTCACGCCTGAACTCAGTCTCTGGACGGTATCGTGTCGGATCAGAGCAGAGTACGGACCATCCTGTAAACCCAGTGAAATTCCCCCGCTCACTAAACAAAAAAAATGCTAGTCCGAGTCCTGATCCGGTGGCAGGCGTCGAGTCCAGCTACTCGGGAGTGCTCTTGTATGGGCAGGAGAATGGCATGTACACCCAGGACGGCGGAGCTTGCAGTGAGCTGAGATCCGGCCCACTAAGCCAGCCTGGGTGACAGAGAATCCGTCTCAAAAAAAAAAAAAAAAAAAAAAACCTCAAATATAAAAGCAAAAGGGAGGGAACCAGGAATGTAAGACAGCACATATGCAATTGCGTTTAGCTTTATTAACATTAAATTTTTTTAATTTACGAAAAGATCAACCCATGACTGCAGCTAAGCAACACCTGAGAGGACAAAAGGAAAATAAAAAGGCTGGACAAGATACATGGTAGAGGGATGTACATACATAGAGCTGGGAAAAAGGAAAGATAATTTTATAGGGAAGAGGATTTGCCTGTGTGGGTGCCCACCAAACATCTGAAGATCTATCACGAGCCACAGCATCTAGTGGATCCACCTGTACAGTGCAAATTGAAGGTTTAAGGATTGCTTTTAAGCCTTGATTTGCTTTCTCTGTGCCTTTTGTTAGAAGGGGCCTGCTTCTTGTTATAAACAGTAAGTTTTACCCCGTGGTAATTAACCAAAGAGGCAGAAGCTGAGTTACAAATGCTTCAGCAATGGCATGCCTCCTGGCCACAGCCACAAAAGCTTTTGCTTCTGTTTTAGTAGATTTACTAATGTGGGGGTGAGTGTATGCTTGTGTTTTTGCAGGAGATGAACAAACCGTATAGGTGCCCTCAAGATGTGTATGACCATGATATAGGAGACTGAAAGGACCCATGGATCCCAACCATAGACCTGGTTCCCCCAGTTTGAGCCATGCTGAGAAACTGCTGGAGTGCCAGAGTTTAACCTATCGATGCTTAACAGATCAATGCTTTCTGACTGAACTCCTCTCTACCCTGAATACAAGAGACCCTAATAGGTAGGCAGGAGTATCATCACCCCTATTCAGCATGAAGAAGTTACAGAAGATGGACGTTTATCCTTCTGCAACCGCTAGGATTAAGGGTCCTCTTGTAAAAGGGAAAGGGGAGATAGGTAGGAAGCATTCAAACCAGAGCAACTCCATTTTGAATAAGGGCTAAGAAAAATGAAACTGGATCACCAACTGGCAATTAAGGGCTGCACAGCCTGCAATTGCCTTGCTCAATTAATTTAAAAAAGAAGCCACCTTATACTAGTAATGGTAGCTGTGGCCGTTTGTACAAAAAAGAGAAGGGGGCATTTTGGGAGAAAAAATAAGTATTGAGAGAGAAGCTGAGGCAGGGCTTGCATGTCTGCTAGACTTGCTGGCTCCTTGCTTCTAGCACTCCCATTATCTCAAGCAGCCATATGTTTATCACTTACTTGATACACTGTTTCCTTTCAACCTCCACATCCTCACCATCTGTTTCTTTGTTTGAGCACCAATAAATAGCGTGGGCTCCCAGAGCTCAGGGCCTTTGCAGCCTCCACACTCGCGATGGCCCCCTGGTCCCACTTTCTCTCTCAAATTGTCTTTTTCTCATTCCTCTGACTCTGCCAGACTTCGTTGCCCCATGACCTGATGTTGGATCTGATCACCCCAACACTTCCTTCTGCTCCCCACAAACTGACAGCAGCCCACGTGGCCTTCAGCTGATGAAGGTAATAAAGTGTGGTATACATCCATACAGTGGAATATATTCACTAATGAAAAAGAACAAGTTACTGATGCACATAGGAACATGGGTAACTCTCAACAGCTTTACACTAAGTAAAATGAGACAGACATAACAGATACCTGTGGTGGGATTCTTTACCTGAAATTCTAACAAAGGCAAAATGATGGTGCAAGAAAGCAGATCCATGGATGCCGAGGGCTGAGAAGGAGACTGCTGGGGATGAGCTGTAAAGGGGCACACAGGAACTTTGAGGGTGTGGAAATGCTGTGTCTTTATTGTTGTAGTGACCGTGTGGCTGCATGCATTTATCAGACCTCATTGAGCTGCACATGTCAATTATACCTCAACAAAGCTGATATTAAACATCAATTGCATAGTTGCACAACAATGTGAACGTTCTTAAAGCCACTAAACTATGCAGTTAAAAACGGCTTAAATGGGCCAGGCATGGTGGTTCATACCTGTAATCCCAGCACTTTGGGAGGCCAAGGTGGGCAGATAATGAGGTCAGGAGTTCAAGACTGGCCTGGCCAACATGGGGAAACCCCATCTCTACTAAAAATACAAATATTAGCCAGGCACAGTGGTGCATGCCTGTAGTCCTAGCTACTCAGGAGGTTGAAGGAAGAGGATCACTTGAACCCTGGAGATGGAGGTTGCAGTGAGCCAACATCACATCACTGCACTCTAGCCCGGGTGACAGAGCAAGACTTCCTCTCAAAAAAAAAAAAAAAAAAAGGTTTAAATGGGGCCGAGCTCAGTGACTCTCACCTTAATCCCCAGCACTTTGGGAGGCCAAGGTGGGTGGATCACCTAAGCTCAGGAGTTCCAAAACCAGCCTGGCCAACATGGCAAACCCAGTCCTCTACGTGAAAACACAAAAAATTAGCCGTCCATGGTGGTGAGAGGTGAGCCAGCTGGACTTACTGGGTCAGGGTGGGACTGGAGGAACTTTGTCTTACGAAAAGATTGTAAAATTACACAATCAGGTACTCTGTGTCTAGCTAAAGGATTGTAAATACACAAATCAGCACTCTGTGTCTAGCTAAAGGATTGTAAATGCACCAATCAGCACTCTGTAAAATGGACCAATCAGCAGGATGTGGGTGGGGCCAAACAAGGGAATAAAAGCTGGCCACCCCAGCCCACAGCCACAATCTGCTGAGGTCCACTTCCATGCTGTGGAAGCTTTGTTCTTTCACTCTTCACAATAAATCTTGCTACTGTTTACTCTTTGGGTC